GCCCACACAGTGTTCTCCCAATCCTTAGTTATGTCGTACCTTTTCCAATGTCTCTCGACTGAATTTGTACCACATCCATGTGGAAGTTTGTACTTTAATTTTGTTAAATGCAGTCGGTTTATACTTATTTCTTGTCTAGGAACGCCGGAGCATGGCCCATCGATAAGAACACGTCTTTGGTCGATTATTTCTACGATGATTGCCACCTTTTTAGCATAAGGTCCAGAGGCAATGAATACAACGCGTCCAGCCTCTACAAACCTTGTGAAGTTCACCATGGGTGGAAGCAGTAACCTGGAAAAGAGTATGCTTGGTTACTTAGAGAACGAACACACGATTGTCTTTATTTTGAAAAACAATATGAATTCCAAATTAGACAAGCGACATTTTCGATAAGCCGTATGTAAATAACCATTTGGTAGCAGACTGGGCTTTCAGGATACAGATACTACACTAATTTCATTCGAGCAAATAAATCTAAGCGGGTCTAAGCGTTTTGAGCTAGGCAGTACCAAAAATAGAACCGTTCCCACATCGGAAAGATTTCACATTTCAACGACAGAAAATTTATGCTTTTACATAGACTGACATAAAGTCACTATCCAAACTAGTTATTCAGCCAGTTAGCCTCGGTTATGCACCCACAGAATGTGTGCACGCTTAAATAAAGCGTGATCCAAGCAAGTCTTCGAAGATGAGCGTAAACTTTTTAGTGTCTTAGATCGTTCTTGCTGACTACTATTGTAAGTCACCAACTCAGTACTAGTTATGAGACTGGCACCATGGTTCTACGAATCAGTTAGCCCAAATTAAACCAATGTATGGCGCTCGAAGTGATGCCTACATACGAATTTTGAGTAATCCAAAACTGTTCAAAAAAGTTCTGAGTGAGATTACTTGAACATGAGAGAACTCGTACGATTTACCCGAAGTAACTAAGTCTGCATCTTCGGAACTAAACCTTCAAGACGCAACTAGCACAACCCATGAATACGACTCACCATTCCTTACCTGTGCCACACGCAACTCAAGTGTCTCACATCGCACAATTTAAACAACACCCATCCAATATCCAATACATATTCACAATGAGCTAATATATAATACTTGCTTGTTCGCACTTACGTCTTGGTGTCATTAAGTGGTTTTAGGTCAATGAAGACACCTACAATTGTGATCTGCGTTACTAGAGAGTATATTTCTTATTGAATTTGAAAGGAAACTAGATTTCAGATAAACTTCTTCTGGAGCCTCTCCAAGGATACTGTCAGCCCCATATCTAGACAAAACAGGAGGGTTGAGCTTAGGGTTAGCAATATTTGCATCAGAAAGCAACCTCGATAAAAAAACGCCTAGCAGAAAAAGTCATTTCATCCATTTGATCGACTGACTTCAGTTTGAAAAGTATTCTTCTGGTAGAGTTGTTATGCATCGCAGTTAAAGACGAGATTATTCGGAATTCTTGAAATCAGTGACTCTTCTGACGGTCAGAAAAATAATAAAAATAGCTACACAGAGTGTCCATACAGCGTGTGAGTCCTCGCAGTATTTCTGTCAGTGTTAGTAATACTGTTGCACATTCCTGGATAAATCGTCTTTATTAATTTATTAGCCATCGAAATCGGCATAATTTCTTCCTTGACTAGAGTGAAAGATATGTTAGGATAGCAGCAAAATCTACCCAGACTGATATGGTGGTCTGAGAAGTTACCATGTGACCTGGGAATAGTATCACATCCCAAATTTACACTTCTCAACGTTCATGGAGATACCAGGTTATTCAATATGCATTAAATAAGGACTTGACACCTGACATTGATCACGACCCAGTGATCAATCAATTGTGATTACATTTCAGTCCCACAGGAGGTCTATCGCGGCCTAGATAGCTCAGTGGTAACATCTCTGACTGTGAAGCTGAATGACACAGGATCGGATCCGCCAGGGAGCACCAGTTTCGTCAAGATTACGGGTACACCATGCTGATGAGTCTCAAGTAGCACGAAACCCGAGTCCAGGGTTCCCTGTCGACTACCTCCAACCACCATCTAATTTCAGGTCTATAGAATAAATGAAAACGAAATGAGGAGCCGATACATTTCCAGATCACTACCTGCTACTGACAAATTGAGACTGAAGGTAGAAATGCACTAGGTAACTGGAAAACATCACTACAGAAATTTAACACAGATTTTCATCTAGTTACTGGCAAACTCGCTCAATTCAACATAGCTCTCAGCAAGAAGTTCCAAGTTTGGCATGATTTACTCACAGAAGTGGACACTTCTATGAAGAGCAACTGGAAAGAGATTAAATTAGTTATAACTTAAACATGCGAGAAGGTACAGAACCTTAAACAGCACCAGTATAGAGAACGCCGGTACAACCTATCATCCAGAATTTGTGTTTTCAGACGGATCACAGAACGATAAAATTTGGGGATCGAGGGAGATTAAAGCCCGCGGTTTTACCAGTGGACTATGCAAATCGAAATGGCACCACAATAGTGGAGCTATCTATAGGTATGTATGGAAATTGGGGGTATTTGAACTATAGTACAAGCTAAGAATCCCAGAAATACTACAATTGGATCAAGAAGTACTAGATAAGCACTAACGAATGTACTATATTTGGAATTCGAAATCAAGAGTTCAACAAGTACAAAGGAATCATCAATTTATTCAAACACCACACCCACCACAGCTTAAATTGGAGTCTAAATGTATGTAATCGACTGTACGTCTTTTCAAGTTCAGCCTGTATCTGTCGGATGGTGTATTGGATAAGGACTCTGTATTATCTAGAATGTACTCATTAGCATCAGAATTAACAACCGAAATCTGGTTACTGGAATTGTATTTGATCAACATGTCCATTGTTTGTACTAAAGTCCTTGATATCTAGAAGTCGCACCATAGATTTCTCGACATTCTTTAGCACAATTCCCGTGGATGGTCAAAGATCATTTCCACGATAATATGTAATTTCTGCAGACTCCAAACATCTCATATTCGACCAAAAAATTTTTTTGTTAGCTTTGATGGAATCTCTTCCGTAACAAAATTTCTGGCATTTCTGTATTGCAGTAAGAAACTATCTACTCCCCTCTCCCGCTCATTAAATGTTGAGGCGGCAATAGAATCAATAGCAGTTTCCAATGTCCTGACAACATTTCTTGCCTGACCATTAGAACAAGGATGTCTGGGGGCAGTAAACAGATTTTTGCACCCTATACCATCCAGTCAGATAGTGACTGCACCTGAAGCAAAATGGAAGCCATTATCGGTCACAAACACCATGGGAACCCCTTCTCGACTGAACACCTTTCTTAATACATGAATTGTGAAGTCGGAATTCGGTGAAGTTGTGAAAAAACGTCAGGCCCCTTTAAAAAAAATCAATGGCTACAACTGCATATTATTTGCCATAAAACGGGCCACAATAGTCTGCATGAAATCTCTGCCAGATCTCAGAAGATACTGGACATGGAGTCCACTTCGAATGCTGATTTTTCAACCTATGAGACTTTTCACAATTGTTTACTGTCCGATATGTATTTGCATTTATCTCTGGCCACCAACATGTAAGCCTTGCCAAGGACTTCATTTCCTCAACACCTAGATGACCACTATGAAGATCTTCAAGGACAGATTTACGCAATGAAGGAGGGATAACAACACAATCATTTAAACACAATATACTATCAGGAGTAGTGGATAGCTCATCATGCTTTGAAAAATAGACAGGAAATCTATATTTCAGATTAGGATTCCAACCTTTCCATATAGCATGCAGCATACATCCAAAGTATCTACGAGTTTCCCCAATCATATCTGGACGTCTCACTGGCAAAGGTTGCACTGACAAACATTTTGAAGTATTAACATGTCCATCTTGTAATGATTGTCGATAAATGCAGTCAACATGTTTAATTTGTTTGACACTCCTATGCTTAACCGTATAGTCATATGCACTGGAAGGAATACTCCAGCGCTAAACCATAGCAGCTGAGGAACGTGTTAAGGACTTTTCAGGATAACGAATAAACTTTAAAGCTTCATGATCAGTAACAATAGTGAATTTCTTTCCTAATAAATATTTATGGAGTTTTTTAACAGCCCAAAACACAGCTAATGATTCTTGTTGAGTTTGCGAATAACCTTGCTTAGTAACAGTAAGTTTGTGTGAAACACGGATAATTAGTTTACCTTCTCTTTCCAGAACGGCACCAATACCCACGGGTGATGCATCTGTAATACACACCGAATGTACACTACGGGAGTACGTTCGAAGAACAGCATCACTTTGAAGAAACTTTAGCAAACCTCATAAGAATGACTCTTGTTCCTCACATTATTTAAATGAATTGGATGTCAAAATATTAAATAAGCAATTTGAACGACCATCATGCACGTTTGCTTCAATAAATGGTAGTTCAATGTTAATCTATAGTCACCAAATATTCCAGGGGTCTTACCGTCCGACTTCTGTGGTGTAACAATAGGAGTACCTCATGCCGAAAACTAAATCGTTTCAATTATGCCTTTCGCACACAAATCGTTTAACGTCCTATGTAATGCTTCTCGAAGACCATAAGGAATTATTCGTCTTTTAAAAAAGACTGGATCACCCTCTACTTGGAGTTTAATAGGCTGAATTTGTATACCTCCACTGCAATTAGCACATGTAGCTATCATACCTTTAAGTAAAGCGTCAGAATTTTTTCTAAACTAGGAAAGACAACTCCACTTTAAGCCTTTTCAAATTCCTTAAACCCGGTATTGACAGTCCTGTTTCGCTAACTAAAAATTCAAAAGGTATGTAAGAACAATTAACATTGAAGATGGCACAGGTATTCAGTGTTTGACAACGCTTTTACCAGCAACACCTTCAACACTTTCAATACAAACGTGTCGGTGACCTGACGTTTGGTTTCAACTATGCCTGTTAGTAAAAATGCAAAGATCAGCCAGCATGTTAATTATAGGATTAGATGTACCATGCAAGATGGCCGGCAACTAGTAGGGACGTTCAAAGCTTTCGATCGTCATATGAATATAATATTGTGCGATTGCGACGAGTTTCGCCAAATCAAAAACAAGACAGCAAAGCAAGACAAGGATCGCCAGGAAAAGCGGGCTCTAGGTCTTGCTCTTTTGCGAGGTGAACATGTTGTTACTATGAATGTAAATGTTCCCCCACCTCCTGAAGATGCCGCCCGAGTTCCGCTCCCTACAGCAGGTGCTTGGTCAACTGGAGTTAAGCCATTGACTGGTATTGCTGTCGGGCGCGGCATGCCCCTTGCGACCCCAGAAGCAGCTATTGCCCCAGCTCCACCTGCTGGTTTAGGTGGGCCAGTTTGGGGAGTCGGAGCACCAGCACCGGGTCTGATGCAGCCACGAGCGCTTCCTAGCATGACACCTCCACCTCCTCCCCCTGCAGGCGCACCAACTGCGGCGTTCGGTCGTGGAATGCCAACTGTCACCGCTGTACGAGGATATCCTCCTCCTCCACCTCCACCTCCTCCTGGATACCATTGAGACGCAATCTGACTCATGGTATCTATCTCAGATAACCACTTATTATCGCGGAGAAGTTTTGTAAAAGTATTTACTTGTTTCAATAATTTGTACCCACCAAGAGAAATCAAAAGACAGGGTCGAGGAGATCGGAAGAGTGTATTTGACGATTACGAATATATCGGAATTCTCTGATCTAATCTGGCTAGCGATTGCGGTAGATGTTGAGCTCAGCATTACCACACGTGATCTGGTGCGGATGCATGACAGAGCGCCTTCAGCTAGATGAGTCCACTAAAACATATGGTCAGCATCCAATGTCGAAAACTTACAGAGCTATTTATTTTGTGGATTTATTTACTGCTACAGTTCACTCCCCCTCTAGTGGGGTAGTGATGACCCGAAGACGTGGCCAGCCAGAAGCTTCAACCCAAAGAGTTTGTCGTTGGTAAACACATTTCTGATGGGTTGCTAGGTTTAGCAGCGCCTGGTCGTCTTTCCTTACTATATGGGACCGAGGTACAACATAGTAGAAAAAGAAAAAGTACAATGAAAATTTCGGCTCCTCGTGAACTGCATCGTTCTTTTCCAGCCGTCCTGGAAAAGAAAAAAATGTAAGTGCATGTCGAAATACATTCGCATGTGCGTAAAAATACAATGTCGGCGAAAAAAAAAGAAAATAAACTCAAGCACACGCAATAGCGTTAAATTTTTTTTGTTTTTTGTTTTTTTTTAAAACAAAAATATAAATATCTAAGCATATTAAAATTGTTTTTTTCCAAAAATATCACATATCGTAAAAACAAAGATCGAGATAGTATGAAATGTCGAGTAGTGCCTTACGTGCAGTAGTCGTTTAAATGTTCTGGAAATCTCACTCTTCTTCCAGAACGTGTCATTTTAAGTTTATTTTCAGACATATTCGAAGTGTCATCGCTAGTGTTGGTTGTTGGTTGAGGAATTATGAGTGTAGGAGTCGTGTTGTGCGATTGTACCAAAGGGACGTCGACGTGAATAGAAAATCCTTCTAACTACGCTGCTTTTAAGCGATCTATGCTGTTTGTTCCGTTCTTATCGACTATATAGTACTTAGATTCACGTTGAAGAACTTTGAAAGGTCCTTCGTATGCTGATTCGAATGGTCGTCGATGTGCGTCTCAACGAACGAAAACGTGTGCACTATATTGCAAGTCAGGTTGAACGAAAACATCGGTGGATTGTGGTCGTGTGGAAGCAGGTTTAACTGAACGCATTGCGTTTGTAAGCCTGTTCGTGTGGGAGGTTAGATCCATGCTCATTGATGAAGATGAAGGATCCACGAATTCTCCTGGAAGTCGAAGTGTCGTTCCATAAACGAATTGAGCTGCAGTGTATCCAATGTCAGCTTTCACTGCATTGCGAATGCCTAGTAAGACGAGTGGAAGAGCGTCGGTCCACTGTGAAACGTTTGCAGCTGATAGTGAAGCTTTTAGTTGTCGGTGAAAACGTTCTACCAACCCGTTTGCTTGTGGATGGTAGGCGGTTGTTCGGAAGCGAGTGATTCCTAAAAGTGTAGTCAGAAGACGGAAAAGTTCAGATTCAAACTGACGTCCGCGATCTGTAGTGATGGTTGAAGGGCAACCGAAGTTTGCTACCCATCGAAGGTTCGGGCCACTGTTTCAGCAGTGATGTCTTTGATAGGTATTGCTTCTGTCAATCGAGTGAAGTGGTCTACGCAGGTTAAGAGGTAAGAGTATCTATTTGAATCTGGTAAAGGTCCTACCAAATCCAGATGAACATGGCCGAAACGAGCATCGGGAGTTTTAAATGAGCCTAAGGGACATTTATTGTGTCTGATGACTTTAGATTTTGGCAGCTTACACAGGAGCGTGCCCACTCCCTCACGTCTTTATTCATGCCAGGCCAGCAAAACCGTTCTGCTATAAGCTTGATGGTTGTGAGAACACCTGGATGAGAAAGTTTGTGCAATGTGTTGAAGACATTACGTCGATAATGTTTCGGCACGATTGGGCGATCCCTACCTGTAGATGTGTCACAAAGTAAGGTTTCCTTACCTGTTCCCATCTGTTTGATGCGTAGTTTAAGGGTTATGAACGATAACTCGTGCTGAAGATCAGTGTCTTCTTGTTGAAGCTCGGCGAGTTTAAGAATGTCGATTCCTTGGAAACTGTTCAAGGAAGTTATGCGAGATAAGGCGTCTGCAACTACATTGTTTGCTCCAGAAATATGTTATATATCTGAAGTAAACTGCGAAATGTAGTCCAGTTGTCGAGACTCGCGGGGAGAGTACTTGTCTGAAGAGGAGCTTAGAGAGAATGTCAGTGGTTTATGGTCAGTGAAAAGAATGAACTCACGATCTTCGATGTAATGTTGAAAATGTCGTACAGCACAATACATAGCTAGGAGTTTCCTACCGAATGTGCTGTACCTCGATTCGGTATCTAGCAACTGTCTAGAGAAAAATGCCAATGGTTGCCAGGAGTTGTTAACCGATTGTTGTAAGACTCCTCCGATTGCTGAGTTGGATGCGTCTACTGCGATACTAATGGGTGCTCGGGTGTCCTGACGTGCAAGCATTGTTGCTTTAGCGATGAGTTCCTTAATTGTAGAGAATGCTTTTCGTGTGGTGTCGTCCAAATTAATGGATTTCGCATTTCCGCGAAGTTGGTCGGTTAGAGGTTTCATGAGTAAAGCGCATTTAGGTACGAATCGCCTATAGAAACTTATCAGGCCGTTAAACGTGCATAATTGCTTGACGTTGGTCGGTTCTGGGTAATCCAGAATGGCCGCCACTTTGGTCCTAAGAGGTCGAATGCCTTGAGCATCGATATTGTGTCCTAGAAAGTCTAACGAATCGGTCCCGATTTGGCACTTCTGAACGTTCACAGTAATGCCATGTTTTTGTAATCGTTCGAAAACAAGATCCAGATGCTTGAGATGTGATTCTCTGTCCGGACTTGCGATTAGGAAGTCATCAACATACGCATGTACGAAGTTGAGACCTCGAAAAACGTCGTCTATAAATCTTTGGAATGTTTGAGCAGCATTCCTTAGACCGAAAGGCATTCGCAAAAATTCATAGAGTCCGAAAGGAGTTATGATAGCTGTTTTCGGTATGTCGTCAGTAGCCATAGGGATTTGGTTATACGCTTTAACCAAGTCGATTTTCGAAAAGACAGTTGTACCTTTTAAAGTAGTTGTCAAATAGTGAATGTGAGGCAACGGGTAACGATCGGGAATGGTTTCTACATTCAATCTCCGATAGTCACCAGTTGGACGCCAATCGTTGCTGTCCTTTTTAGGGACCATGTGCAACGGTGATGCATAAGGGCTGTTTGACGGTCGTATAATTCCTAAGTCTATCATGTGATTGAATTCGTTTTTCGCTAACCTTAGCTTTTCAGGAGCTAATCGTCGTGCTTTAGAGAATACAGGTGGTCCTGTAGTCGTGATGTGATGTGTAACGTTGCAGGTTACACACGGTAGTTTCGGTTGAGTTTGTTGTATCCCAGGGTACTTATCGAGTAGTGGTTGATAAAGTGGGTCTATCGTATGCTTAATTGTGACTGGGGATAATCTGCAACCAGAAAAAGAAGTTACGCAAACGGATAAATTAGTGTCTCCGTCTACTAGCCGCCGTTTTCGCGTATCGATGATCAGATTATGGTGTTGTAGAAGGTCCATACTAATGATTGGCATAGAAACATCTGCAACAACGAAGATCCAGTGAATAGGTTTGCGTAAACCCACGTTAAGGTAAACGTACCTTTTGCCATACGTAGCAATAGGTTTTGCGTTTGCCACCTGTAAGTTTAAAACCGATTGATGAAGCTGGTCGTTAAGATTTGCTGAGAGAACGCTAACTTCTGCGACAGTGTCGACGAGGTAGAGAACTCTCGTTGTCACGTACAACAAACGGCTATGTTCGTCGGCTACTGTTGCCGTTAACGAGTGCCGGCTTGGAAGTTTCCCGAGTTGTTTTTCGAGTAATCCGGTTTCGTGTTGGCAAAATTGCAGGGTTTTCTGCAATTTCTGGAAGACTTTCCATACTGGTTATGATACCAGCACCAGTCGGGGTTATCCGTCTCTCGTGGTCTAGAGACAGTTCGCTTACGTGAAATGCCTCTACGTGTCGTGTGTGAGCAATTACGGTCGTTACGAAGATTAAGATAACGCGTGAATGTATGACATAACTCGGTTATGTCATTCTGAGTCGTGTGAGGCTTTTCTTTGACTGAAAATACCTCGGTAGTAGAAGATTATGTAATTTCTAAGATACGATCGGCAGATGCAGCCAGTTCGTCTAAGGCGTTGTTCTGAGACGAGACCAGAACCGCTTGCACCAGTTGGGGAAATTTAGACAAGAAATGTTGTTTGAATAGACCTTCGTCGAAAGTTCTTAGGCCTATAACCTCTCTCATCCTTTGTAACATGTCCATCGCAGAACCGCGCTGCAGGTCTATGTAATTAAAGAGTTGATCTAATCTTTGTCAATCGATTAGGTCTCCTCGTTTAAGAATCGAACGTTTTAAGGTTTCGTAAGGTTCAGAAACATCACCAGTAAACATACTAGGTGTTACGTAACTGTTGAATTCCGGCGGTAGTGCCTTGACTACTGCGAGGAATTGTGCACGTGTGTCGTTCACGCCGTGCTCGTGGAATTCGGCTTCTGCGTAGCAGAACCAGGTTTCGATATTGTCGGGCTAGAAGGGCATGAGTTAAAACGAGGGTGGGGACATGGTCTTTGGGGGGAACATTAAGTACGAGAATACGAGGGAAAAATATATCGATATCCTAAAACACGGGGAAATAATATCACAATGTATAAAAAATAAGAAATAAGGCAATAGTATATAAAAATCCCAAAAAGGAACAAACTCACAGTTGCAGTTAGGTGTACCAGATCACGTTGGTCTCACCAATGAAGATGGCACATGTGTTCAGTGTTTGACAACGCTTTTACCAGCAACACCTTCTAATATAATTTGTACCCACCAAGAGAAATCAAAAGACAGAGTCGA